CCTCCATTCCCTCCCTCGTCATCGATCTCCTCCTCCCTCCGTCGTTGTCCTCCCCCTCCCTCATGCATCATCGGCGTCGTCCTCCCTCCGCCCTTCTCCCTTCCCCCTCCCTCATGCATCATCGGCGTCGTCCTCCCTCCGCCCTTCTCCCTTCCCCCTCCTCCCTCGTTATCGATTTCCTCCTCCCTCCTCCATTCCCTCTCTTGTCATCGATCTCCTCCTCCGGCCATCACTGTCGTCCCCCTCCCTCCTTCATCATGTCGTCCTTTTTTTCTTTTTTTTTTTCATTTATAAAATTTTTAATAGTGCACCACTGCTCCCCCTCCCTCCTTCATCATCGACGTCGCCCTCCCTCCACACTTCTCCCTTCCCCCTCCTCCCTCGCTATTGATCTCCTCCTCCCTCGTCATCGATCTCCTCCTCCCTTCATCGTTGTCCTCCCCTTCCCTCCATCATCGGTGTCGTCCTCCCTCCGCCCTTCTCCCTTCCCCCTCCTCCGTCGCTATTGATCTCCTCCTCGCTCCTCCATTCCCTCCCTCGTCACCCATCTCCTCCTCCCTCCGTCGTTGTCCTCCCCTTCCCTCCATGCCTGAGCGCACCATGCGTGCAAATGCGTGCGGCACGCGCACGCCCCGGCGCACTGGCGCACTGCGCATCCAAGTGCCGCGCAGCGCATCCCGCATCCCGCATTGCGCACTGCGCATCGATGCGCGCGCATCGCACATCAATGCGCACATCCCCGACGGGGGCACGGCGCGCTGCGCACCGCACCGCATCGCGCAGCGCATGGATGCGCCACAAGTATGGTTTAGACCCTTTAAGGTTCAGGGTTTAGGGTTTCGGGTTGCTGTTGCTGCTGGCTACCTCAGCCCAGTTCATCTTCCCTCCCCCCTCCCCCCCCCCTCCCCCCCGCTTTCAGTCTAATTCTAGTCTGGCTCATGTACCTGAACGGTACTCACATCTATCCGAACACCTTACAGTTCACATTGCTCAACCCGGTCGTGAGTTTGGACCGGATTGAGTCAAACTAATATAAAGTATTAGGGGCTACCCCCAGTTATAATCAAGAAAAGGGAAATGAACACCAACCTTCTTGAGTACAGTCTCCACATTGGTGGTTGACTCTCAGTCTGTTTTCTCTTTTCCCTTGTCCTTTGTCGATAACAGCATTGCCACTTGTGCATAACTTTTGTCGAGGAAGACAACCGAAAAAACAAAAAGCAAAAAATCGACGTGCTCAGGGTTTAACTTTAGACCCTTTACGACCTAAATCCTAAACTTCTATAATAATAATAATATATATATATATTTTTTAAGTAAAAAAAATGATTAAAAAAAAGTAAAAAAAAAAAAAAAAGACGTAGTCTAATTGTGCAGAAGGGCCCTGGCTCAACAGGAAACTATGTACCTAGTATTATCTGAATTTATCTCCGTAATACTTCTTTGCAAAGTGTTTAGCTCGCAGTTAGCGACACATGATGTGCATGCGAAAAGTGCATAGGTGCGGTGCACAGTCCCGACTGCCACACATGGTGCACAGATACCAGAAAGTCTAAGAAAACAAGGAAAAAAAGAAAGGAAGAAAAAAAATCTGCAATTAAATCCCTGGTTGGGCCCTTTGCCTCGCAACGATTGGCATAACGAATAC